TGTAGGCTACAACAAGGAATAAACAGCGACCGATACAAATGTGATGTTAGAATATGATGTTAAATTAAACTAAAATAACCATACAATCAAAAACGTCTTACCATCAAGCAGCAAAACCAGAGTAAGCAGAAAACAGCGTCCCACGTTAGTGTTAGATTTAAATCGCCTGTGTTGCTCCATCGATCTCTTGAAATTATTTCTGACTGATCCAGATGAATTATAAATGTGTGTCTTGGCGGAGCAAAAAAAAGCGTATCCTATGCCTCGCGTTCTGGTTGCTAATGAGAGTTAGCTAGCCTACTAAAATGATATAATGAACATTTCACTGGGGGTTCCCTTGACCCACGTGGCGACCTTATTCATTCTCCTGTAAAAATTTGGGGGTTTACTGATGTTAACATACTTTCGGTTTCATTTGCTCCACTAATTAAGGCATTAGACATTAAAACTGAAAATGTCATGACTCATTGACTCTCCCTGTCGTCCCAAGCCCGTCAGACCTCCATGTGAAAGTACTCCATGTGACACCGGTGGGTTACTTATGTTTTGAAGCATCAGAAATACATTTTGGTCCAAAAATAACAAAGACTACGACTTTATTCAGCATTGTTGTCTTCCGGTTCTGTTGTGGATCCGCGTTCAGTGACGCTGATGACGTAAGACGCATATTGTAATTTTAATACTATAGGTCTAGTGTCCTAGCCTGAAAATCCAATCTACGATTTGCTCCAGTATACATATATGAAAAAATATGAAAAGAATTTACAAAGAGAATTTAGTAATAGAAACACACACAGAGAGAGAGAGAGAGAGAGAGAGAGAGAGAGAGAGAGAGAGAGAGAGACCGCATTCAGTATGAAAAACAACAAATGTAACGATAAAAACATTTTAATAAAATTGTCAAAAAGCCAAGAAATAGTAAAACAATGTTGCTTAATTTCTAGTCGATCTGCACTCTGAAAGTCAGCATAATTCACAGTATTTCACTTTAAATTATATATAGTTGTTGAAAATAGAAATTCAGGAGATCTCAAGATCACAGACATCAAAACCACTGACTCTGGAGAATATAAACTACAGATCAGAAACACTCAGAGGAGACCTTCAGTGTCTTCGGTTTTAGAGGAGAGTGATGAATTTTCAGATCATCTTGAAGAGACATAAGAACACAATAAAAAAATTATATGTTGGCTTTAATTAATTTTTTTTTTTGTCAAAAATTTTTTTTACGAGAGATCGGGTAATGAAAGACCCGATCTCTAATACACACAATGAAAGGCGACTGTAGAAAGCTTTTACTTAAAGCAACACCATGGAACTTTTCCACTGCGGTCGCCCTACAGGTTGGAAGCGGAATTGTCCATTACCGCTGTCATAAATAATTTAGCCTACTTCAGCCTACCCGAAACTCGAAGTTACACAGTAAAAGCGCAAGTAAAAGCGATATAGACCACATAAGGCTATGGCAGACGTGTCATTCAACCTATTTTAAGTCGATGTACCATTACAAGGTTCTTGGAAATATATTATACTTAGAGTTGCTTTAAAAACTATTGAAGGGGTGGTCAAAATCCCTTGCCTCTTCAGCATATATATATATCATAATATCCTCTTGAATGATTATGTATTTCTTTTATAAAATCAATAATTAAGTATATTCATTGTTACTTAATCATTTATTGACATAAATGTATTCTTTGTGCTTTTGCTTGTGAAATAATATTCTTAAATGCATGCTGATGTACTTTGTACATGCACAAGTCACCAGCTTCTTTTGGGTGCACAAGGCCATTTGTCTCTTTCTCTGGTCTCAGGAGAAAGGTTTATGGATCCTAAAGGCGTCTTGAACACATATGTCCAACACATATGATACTTCTCTGTACAGATGGTCAAGCTATATTGAGCATTGCTTTATTGAACTTTAATTGTTATATTAAACTGTATTCTTTCTATTATATTTGCTTTCTGAGGAGCAAATGTTATCTGTTTTTCTCCCAAACGAGTGAATGTTTTACCATTATGTTTTGGTACACTTAACTGATAATAAGCCGCTCAGACTCTCTTCAGCCTTGATGGGAGCTCCTATTTGCTAGTGTCCTATGTGAATGCAGTAACAGTGAAAATAATAGGGAAATAGGGATTTGGTTTATGTTTGAGTGTTAAAACATAAAGGGGTCATTGAAGCCAACAGTTTAAGGCACCATTTCTTTGTTGAAGTCTTACTCCAGTTAGACTAAAATTTAGTGTTAGTCTTCTTGGTTGCAGGTTAAGGAACCACTGCCATTATTGGAGGTTGACTGAGTTGTTGTTCTGGACACACTGGCGCCAGCAACCCAAATCTGTGACCTGGAAGGTCATGACGTGCCTCATCGATGGAGATATGTTTCGTCTATCTGTATATGTGTGGAAATTTACTGTGTATCTATATCTTAGCCAATGAGAATCATTCAACGTGTAAGCAATGATGTAGATTAGACCTTGAAAATGGTATAACTGCTGTGATTGTTGTAACTGGAAGAGGGCGGCCTACGAACTCCTGAGTCTTGAAGCTGACTTCTGCTGATGAAATGGCAAACTATGTTTAGTAAAACTTTCTTTACTTTTTTATAATTCTGATTCCGGGTCTTCATTCTACATATCTGGTTCTGGGTCCTTTAACTGTTAACCCCTAACACTATGTTCTGATAAATTGGTAATTTTCACTGTCACTGTTGTGTACAAAGTATTGGAGTCTACGTGTTCGGGTACCTCATTATATTGTTTAGATATGTAGACTTAGGTAGTCTAACAAAATCTACTGTTTTTTACTTACATATTTTAAAGAAACCATGCGCTTTAAAAGCATGGCTTGTTTCAGTGCTACGTTGTTTGAATAAAATATATAAACAAAGAGAGAGTCTTGCAAAGTAAACTTCAAATCTCAAATCAAGTAGAATTTACTCCACAAACTGTAATTGGCCAAGTTAAATTCTTTGTTAATTTGACCTAACTTAATTAATTCCATACATGTGAGAGTGCAAAAATTTGACAAAAAGAAGTAGATTTTTTTTCAGTGAAGAACTAGGCCTTGAACTAGTACATTCGCACGTAAACTGGGACCCAAGACACACACATACATTTGAACACTTGACCTCTCTTAATTGTTGCTATAAATCTAACTGACATGCCAGAAATGGTTTGATCTTTCTCCAGGACACCCGGATATTATGTGTATAAATATGGCCCACCTTCATTCAACAGAAATGATAATCTTATGGTGTAACACCGGCTCTCTTCACCAAATCTTCCTCTGATATTCTGAAGGTAAGGATTTAAAAACCAAAGTGAGTTCTTGATCTCTGTAAATGTTTGAGAGGCAAATGCAGTGACCATCGTTATTGTATTTTTTGTTTGTCAGTTATTTGACTTGTTTGGTTTACCGCCATTGGGTTAGCATTGGCTTTACTTTTGTAATCCTGTGGAAATAAACCCCTAAACGTTTGCAGTAGCCGTGTTCTTTTATCTTTTAGGGTCACATCTATCACTATAAGCTTTGAGAATGTTTAGAGAGCTTTCGAGATCTCCAGAGCTGCAAGACTTGTGAGAGTTGAAGCTATACCGTACCTTTTGTGTGTTGGGTTTGATTTGTTTTCCTTGCTTAGTTCTGTCTGACATTTCAACATCGCTTGTCAGACAGAAATGGTATTAGTGTTGAAATTGTTTTATTCTTCTATTTATGTTAATAAATGCACTGACAACCAGACTATATCCTCCACTTATTGAGCCGGTCGTGACAATGTTGTCTTTGCGCTTGGCCCCGATCATGGCAAATGACCCATTTAACTTAAAAACTCTGTAATTTTCACTGTCACTGTTGTTCACAAAGTACACTGTAAAAAATGATTTTTTGGTTAAGTAAATACTAGTGAAAAAACATTTACTTGAAAAAGTTAGTTCAGGCAAGAATTTAAAAAACTAAGTAAATTCCATATCAGTACTTATTTCAAGCGAGTATAAATGAAAGTGTAATATCAACTCAATAAAATTAAGTAAAAATTACTCAACTTTTCTGATCCCATCATGCACTGGACCTTGAATAATTAATGAGGTTCATTTTTCACTGGTTTCCAGCTGTATTTACACTGTTTTATCATTGATTTTGGTTTTCAGTATTAGTAAATTGCCATTTTGTGACATTTCGAGTACATTTTTTGCTTAAAACGACACATTCAAACACAAAAACGATCCATCAAATGTTACCACCATTGTGTATTGTCTACCAAGTATTGAGGTGTTTGCATTCACATAAGGCTTAAAGTCTGACATGATGTATATATAAATTACTTAGATGATCTAAGTAAAGAACATACTATAAATGACTAATAAAATTCAAGATAATTGTTTTAGTGAAGTGTAATACAAAGGCAAAGGAAATCGATATTAATCAACCTTTTACAAGCCGAGTTAAAATTGAAGAGTTCAGATGCAAAAGCCTCTAAGTGCCATTTGAAATTTTCTTCTAGAATGATCATTTTTATCAAGCTTGTATATTAAAGTTCAGTGATTTCACTTCAATAGCAATGATAATTACCTATAATTTGTTATTTAAGTGAAATTACTGAACTTAAATATACAATTTTGATAAAAATCATCATTAAAGAAGAAAATTTCAAATGGCATTTAGAGGCTTTTGCATCTGAACTCTTCAATTACTCATTTTTTGTAAAGTTTACTTAATTCCACATTCCAAGTAAATTTAACTCAAAGATTTCTAATTAAAGGTACTGATAAATATGTTTAGGTTTTTATTTGTAAAATCTTTGTAAATTTACTAGCATTTTCTGAGTGAGATCGTTTAGCAAGGTTTTTTCAAGTAAATCCTACTCCAAATTGTTTTACAGTGTACTGGAGTCTACATTTGACCTCTCATTAATTGTTGACCTCTCTTATTTGTTGCTATAAATCTAACTAATATGCCAGAAATGGTTTGATCTTTCTCCAGGATACCCGGGTGTTATTGCCGGATATTATGTGTATAAATATGAACCACCTTCATTCAACAGATATGATAATCTTATGGTTTAACACCGGCTCTGGTTCTTCACCAAATCTTCCTCTGAGACTCTGAAGGTAAGGATTTAAAAACCAAAGTGAGTTATGAATAAATGTTGTTCCTGAAGTGTTTTTGTGTTTAAATGCATTGAGGATCTCAGTGTGCAGGCAGACATTTAACTTTTCCTGCTTATTCATTTCAGGTTCATCATGGCAATGCTAATAAGTTGTCTGCTTCTTTTCATCATCTTCTCCATGGGGAATACAGAAGGTAACCAACACATTTATTTAGTAAAAACCCTTTCTATTTAAAAACATCTTGAAAATGTAGAATATTCCAGTGACTAATATTTGCATGATTAATGAGGGGTTTAACGTGTATATAAAGTACATTTTCAGCACATAATCATAAAAACATAAAATAAGCTGCATAAATAAAAAGTAAAACATTATTTGCAGTGAATGTTACAAGAAATGATAATAGACTGGGTGCAATTGATTTAGACAGATGCCCCGCCACATGGACACAATATGGACTCCGATGCTATAAGTTCATTTCTCATCCGACTAACTGGATCACAGCACAGGTAATGTGTTACAAGACGATTTAGTCACACTTTAAATTAGGTGTCTTTAACTAACATCTATAATCTATGAACACAATAGATGTATTGTCAAGTAATTCATTTAAAAATGATTGTCTGGTGAAGTAAATACTACAGAATAAAACTCATGTAATTTAGTAATTTAAAGTTAGTTCAGCTAAACATTTAGAAAAAATGTAAAGTAAATTATATATTATTCAAGCATGTAAATATCAAGAATATAAAATTAAGTAAAACCCACTCAACTTTTATAATCCTTGTTCCAATAATAAATAAGGTTGATTTTTCACTGTTTTCCACTGCTTTTGTTAGATTTAGTAATGATTTGTTTTCAAAATAACACAATCACTCAAAAACGATCTATTGAATGTTAAAGTCATTGTGTAGTTTTGACGTGTTCAGGTGCTATACTTTTATTATATAGATACAGTATGTAATCCATTCAATATCTATTGTATTATTTATTTAGATGTTTCTAAGCATACACTTTAAACGTGCGTTTTAATTCGGTGTTATATCGTCTTAAAAATTTAATTTGTGGTTAGTCAAGTAGATGTTACTTAATTACTTGTATTTAATATATGTGAAATTAAATAAGTTAAATATTATGAAGTAATGTTTAATTAATTACTTCAATGTCAAACTAATTTTAAGTGCAATAGTGAGTAGAGTTTACTTGATAATAACAGGTTAGTTGTACAGAGCAGTCTCAGAAAAAGTTACTTAAAATGTGTTAGTGCAAATTGTTACGAGGATTTTATCAAGACAAGCCATTGTTTTCAGTGATATTACACTGTAAAAAATTATTTTCAAGATTTGTTACCACAACATATTTTCTTTTGTCAAATCAACTTTATAATCATTTATTTAGTTGAGATAACTTATTATTTTGAGTTTCTGATGATTAAATATATCTCCTTCATTGTATTAACTCACTTTTTCCAGGTCAATGAACTTAAAATTAAGGCAACCAGGTTACTACTTTAAGTTATACAAACAATATTTTTTACAGTGTAGTAATCACAACATTTTTTCTTTTGTCATATCAACTTAAATAATTTATTTAGTTCAGATAACATATAATTTTGAGTTTCTGGTGATTAAATCATTCTCCTTCACCGTATTAACTCACTTTTTCCAGTTCAATCAACTTAAAATTAAGGCAACCAGGTTACTTACTTTAAGTTACACCAACAATATTTTTTACACTGTATTTAAAGACACTATAAAGTGGGAATGCAATTTTTTCTGCAATTAAATAGTACAGAAAACTGATACTGAGCAAACAATCAATCAGAAGACCATGTTTGCAAATGTCTAAAATGTTGTCACTTTTGCTTTATGTTAAAAAAAAATGATTTTGTGTTGAAAATAAAAATTCTGTCTCTTTAGAGAAATTGTCAGAGTCTTGGTGCAAATCTCGCATCTGTGCATAATAAACTGGAAAATAAATTCCTGCTGAGTCTGTTGCCTTCTCCTTCCACACGTACTTGGATTGGTGCAAATGATGCTGTACAAGTAAGTTCAATTGTGTTTTTAAACTACTATTTCTGCTTTAAACAGTAAAGGCAAAGTTTCTAATGAAGTTTTCAAATAGTGCACTCTTTAATTCCCTCTCTTCACTCTTTAGGGAGGACACTGGTTGTGGAGTGATGGATCTGTGTTTTTGTATACCCACTGGTGCTCTGGAGAACCCAGCATTCAGCGTCCCGAGAACTGTTTGGAGATCAACTTTACCTGTAAGACTGCAGTCTGATTTTTTAAATACTTTTAGTTATAATTTACAATCCTACAATTTTACATCATAAAGTAACACGAAATGACTCAATTTAGATTTCACAAAGTGCTTCAAGTTAAATATTCAATTTTATTTTGATTCTAACAACACTATAATCATCAAAATAACTTGTTTCATTATTCCACAGCTGACCGTTGCTGGAACAATGAGCCCTGTTCACACTCATTATCCTATATCTGTGTTAAGGACCTGTCAGACTGTCTTGCTGATCCACAGTTACTTTGATTGAACTATCTTTCTTATATTATCTTTTAAAAAAATGTTATTCTGAAATCAAATCTCTTCTAAACTTTAATCTGTTTTCAATATCTTGTCTGAAACACTCCTCAAATTAATAAAAGCATTGAAAAAAGCTAATTGTCAATCAAATTCATGTATGTAAAAATATAAGTTTAATGTGTAGCAAAGGTTTGAATGTGGTTATTATGGCATTAAAGAGCAACATGCAGGTTGGACACCCCTATATAGCATAGTGTATGTTGATGATAAAACAACTAGAACTGGAGTAATATATATTTAGCCATTAATAATGTCGCTTCTATGAAGTACTAACCGGAAGTGCGATCGGCGAGGGAGTCTGTTCATGTTCAGGCTCAGGTTACTGGATGCGAATGAAGAAACCGAGTTCTCCGATGTTGACGAACATGCCTATGATGGCCCACGGGCATATAATTATGAGCCTCCTAGATTATGGGGCGCCGTTTGTGAAGCGGCTCACGCTGAAAATAACAACAACATTTTGTCACATTTAGCTCCAAACTATGTTTAAAGTCCCCGTGAAATCAAAATTGAACCTATTTACTTTGTTAGCGCATATTACTAGTCTTGTGGTGAACAATTAATCCGTGCAAGTAAATATATATTTAAAAAATGTTTTACCTTAGTAATCTTTAATCAAAATCTGAAAAGTTACTTCCGGTCTGGAACGGTTTCTTTTTCTGATGACGTAGGTTTCACAGTTTGGGTGGGGAAACGCTTAACCACTCCCCTCAAACCGTTAGTTTGCTATGAGCGAGAGATGGAGAGGAGGAGCGTTAGAGTAAAATCCTGCCCTCTGTTCAATATTCCGTTTTCACTTAAAAGAAAAATCGTTTGCAACTTCCGGTTCACGGGGACTTTAAAAAACTGGTATGAATTTTTGACGGTCACTTTTTAGCACATTTACATCCATATTTGTCAACTTAGAGATATTTTAAATAGTTAAATCTAAATATTAAATTTAAATCTAAATGTTAAATATAAATACAAATATTAAATCTAAATGTTACATCTAAATATAAGTGTTAAATATAAATGCTAAATCTAAATATAAATGTTAAATCTAAATATAAATGTTTAACCTAAAACCTGTCATCAAGTTATAACCTGCTTATGTTTTTTAAACTTTATTGTGTCTGAATGTGTTTTTTAAATCTTTATATAGGCTTCAAAATGTATAAATTTTGAATTAACTTGTAAAGATTATCTTGCTAGACAAAACGTGTTTTTTGCGATTTTCCAAAAGTCTATGGGGAAAATGCATTGCTTTTCGATCGAGGGAACCCATGCGCCGCTAGCTTCCGAGTTGTCCTACAAAGTGACGTCATCGCTTCGGCACTCTATTGTGCTTCACAAGTATGAGTAGACATTTCGTATGTGGTAACTCTTGGTTCCTAAACTACATAGAAACTATTAATAGATTACACACATTTGCACATCTGAAATCAACTGAGTAACAAATCAAAATGTATAGGCCTAACACCAAAGAGAAAATATAGGCTACATAACCAGAATTCAATGAAACATATCAACACAATCACTTTAACTAAACAAACCAGAAGAGGAACTTACATGTTCAACCACGCAACAATTCCACACAAAGCACGCATGAAGAATGAATGAATGAATGGGAAGACGGTTACAAACAGGCTGAGACTGAAGCGATTAGCTAGCTAGTGACAACAGGTGATCTCATCAAGACTAAAACAAGTGGAAATATACAACATGCAACTTTTCCAACTTATGCTTCTGTATCTTAAACATAGGTTAATTAGCGACTTCATTACCTTCCTCTGCGTCGTGTTCTGGAAGTGGAAGGCAAACAAAGCAGATGATGAAAAACTATAAACAAATGAAACTGTAACAGCAGCATTTGACCACTAGAGGGATGAGTACGCACCATGAAATTGTATACTACCAAGCGCCACCTAGTGTCCTACTCAGGAAATTACATTTTTCCAGATTTACGGCAATTTACATTATGAAAAATATGAAACAGAATTCGGTTTAAAAATAAATTGGATGATTATTCAGAAATGACTCTTTATTAATATTGTTGCATATATGGCAACTGACAGTCGTGAAGATACAAAACCTTTGCAAATGATTTGTTTCAAACCAGAATGTTGATGTCAGTATGCAAAACACAACAAATGATATACACTAAAAAACGGATTATTTTTAACCCAATATTTTTAAGTGAGTAAATTTTAATTAATTTCAATAAAACAAAATTCTGTCTTGGTTGTGCTACTGACACAAGACAACAAATACAATTGTAAAAAAAAAATTAAAAAAGCAAAAAAAAAATTATTGTAAAATAGTAAGACAAAGTAATTGCTTAATGTATTCATGTCGATGTGCACTCTGGGAGTCAGCATAATACACAGTAGTAAACATCTCAATTGAAATTATTTAATTATTGAAAATAGTCATTCATAAGAAACTTTTTTAAGGGTCACCGCTGTTGATTCTTCAACTGATCTTCCATTAGTCTCCTCCTCTTGTGGATCTGATGTCATAAACCAGAAGAATGACAGTAGCCACGCCCACCACAGCAGAGAGGACCAATCGGATCACAGCTTCAATAGAACCACAGCTGTGAACTTCTAAACAAACAATGATAAATAGTGATTTTAGTGAGCAGACATTATGTTTCAGGAACTCCAAACTGCACAATCACATAAATATGGTAAAAACAGCAATGTTGAAAGCAAAAATAAAACTATGGGAGATGTATTTAGGGCATACAAAGTGTGATTCAACAGGAACTTTCAATTTATGAAAAATAAATAAATAAATCTGATGAGTGGTGGTGTACCTGCACATGTGTGTCTGCAGAGTGTGTTGATGTCCAGATGTGTGGTCTGGTTGCTGATGGGATTGTTCAGCACACAGCTGTAGGTGTTTTTATCCTGATATTCCACCTCCAGAGGTAGAGAGAGACTGATGCTGAGATCACACACACTGATGCTGGACAATACACTCATTCCTGCGTACCAGGACAGAGTCGCATCACACACACTCAACACTGATGATGAACACACCAATGAACAATTTGAAGAACATCGTGACGAGTTACTGATGATGACAGGAACAGGCAGACGAGCTGAGAAAGATTAGAATAAATCATTATCCCTACTAAGATCATCTACTATTATTATTTTACTTTCCTTAAAACTAAAACTGCATTATGTACTTATTATTTTTCCTTCCATCTCATATTTGTTTTCTTCTACCATGTCCCTTCATGGGCTCTGTACCATCTAGTGGTGATTTCATGAATTATTATCACGATTATTTTTCTATTTGTATGTAATTTAAGAAACAGAAAAAAATACTATAGAAATACAGTCATTTTAAAAAAAGAGAGAATTTGGCATAATCCTTCAAAATTATAGCTGAATTGTTAATTTTACACAGTTTGAGAATCATTTAAAATATAAACTAAAATTACTAAAAAAACGAAAGTTAAACTCACAATAGACAGTGAGACGGAAACTCTTGCTCAGATTTCTGGTCATCAGTAGTGTATAAACTCCAGTGTGTTCAGTTGTGGTGTGTGTGATGGTCAGAGATCCAGTTTGATCGTCCAGCTTCAGTCTGTCTCTGAATCTCCCATCAGGATCATCATCATATACAGTCATTCTGTCGGCCATTACATTGATTTCAGCAATTAAAGTGTTTTCATCACCAAACCTCCACAGAATCAGATCATAATCCATCATTTCAGTGAGATCAGAGTTTAGAGAGACTGAATCTCCCTCCGTCACTGACACTGACTTCACTGCAAACACTCCTGGAGAACACACAGATTTAACCATGAAAAACTCATTGCATTTGTATTTAGAGATTCTGAATCATTTGTTTACTCCACACAGATGACATTTTAGAAGAACATCTGCCTCGAGATAGTAAACTATAGTTGTATCTTTGCTTTGAATATTTTACAGGGATATTCAGATACGAAGAGTGTGTGTTTCTGATTGAATCGGTGTATAATTTGATGATCTGTGAAGAAAGACCTGAATTTAAAGTAATTAAAGTAAGTATCTGGAAATAACAAATGCTAATCCATCATATTACCCTGTATGGAAAGCAAAGCACAAACTAAATCAGTAAAAACAATGATATAAATCACTCACCAAACCGTTGCCACAAACACACGCTGAACAAAACGCCGACATGAACCATTTTCACTGAGCACTGCAACATTATAATGAAAATATGACAGAAGTGTGATATAATAGTGTGTGTGTGGACCCTCCCCCATCAGGACAAGAGACCACACACACTAGATATTACTTTCTTAATATACAGCATTTATCAAGACTCACTATAACATTCTGTAACAGGCAGTTATTAAAATGATTATACGTTTACTGAATTTATCTTTTATTTTTTTGTGCAGTATTTCTTAGAATATAAAGGAAATAGGAAATAAAGACTCTCTTTACCCACAAACAACTGACACACACACACACACACACACACGCACGCACGCACGCACGCACACACACACACACACACACACACACACACACACACACACACACACACACACACACACACACACACACACACACACACACACACACACACACAGGTTTTCCACTCATCGGGTCAATCTTCATCTCTTAAACGAGACCGCAGCAGTTTCACTTTGACACACACACACACGCACACACACACACACACACACACACACACACACACTGAATCGTGTTCATTCTCTGAGCTAGAAAAAAACTGCTGTTTGTCTGTTTAAATAGCATAGGCTATAGTTTTTTTAAAAGTTTAATTTGACCTTGTAATTAGTTCTAGTCCGACACACTCAAGCTTGTTTGCACATCAGTTGTGAACATTTGTCTTTCTCACTGAAGCTGGATTTACATGCTTTCTATAGCAAATACATACATGCAAGTAATGCATGAACTGAAAATGTGCATTTTGGGGTGAATGAGTGTAAATTCATCATCACACAGATGAAGTTACTCAATTAATTTCTTCCTAATTCATTACAATAGTTTAAGTTTGTGCAGGGCTCATGTTATGGAGTTCCAAACGTAGGTTGGGGGAGAAGCCTAATCCTTCAGTGCTGTCAATCATCATTTGAAGCTCATATATCAGTCATTGAGAGATATCATTTCAGATGCAGAACCAGCAGTTTCAGTTTTAAAGCCAGTCTCAGCAGCTTGTGAATAGGTTTGATGAGGAAACTCTTAAAATAAAAACTTTTACTGCCATTTAGGAGAACTCTTAGTGATAAGATAAAATGCTAGGTGAAGACTAGGTGAAAACTTGCAAAAGAATAATAATAATAATAATAATAATAATAATAATACATTTTATTTATGTTGCGCTTTTCTTGTACCCAAAGCGCTACAATCACAGTACAAAAGTAAAATACATTAACAACCAATTAAGACACAAACACATTCTTAAAAAGATGGGTTTTTAACAGTTTCTTAAAACTCGTTAATGTTCCGAACAGTTAAAGGAAGTGCATTCCACAACCTGGGGGCTGCCACAGAGAAGGCTCTTTCACCCATTATTTTCAGTCTACAAGAAGGCTGTTTACGTAAAAATGAGTGGGCAGAGCGGAGAGATCGAGAGGGCATATATGGCATAATTAAATCACATATATATGATGGTGAAACATAAAGTCGATTTTTTTTCAGTGAAGAACTAGGCCTTGACCTCTGGTACACTCACACACAAACAGGAACTCAAGACACAAAAATATATTTGAACATTTGACCTCTTAATTGTTGCTATAAATCTATAACTAATCTCAGAAATGGTAAAGTTTGATCTTTGCCCAGGACACCCGGTTGCTTGTTTTTATGTGTATAAATATGACCCATCATCATTCAACAGATATGATAATGTTACTGTGTTACACCAGCTCTGGATCTTCACCAAATCTTCCTCTGATATTCTGAAGGCAACGATTTAAAAACCAAAGTGAGTTATGAATAAATGTTGTTCCTGAAGTGTTTTTGTGTTTACATGCATTGAGGATCTCAGTGTGCATGCAGACATTTAACTTTTCCTGCTTATTCATTTCAGGTTCATCATGCCTATGCTAAAAAGCTGTCTGCTTCTCTTCATTATCTTCTCCATGGGGAATACAGAAGGTAACCAACACATTTTAGTAAAAACCCTTGCTATTTATAACATTTAGGAAATAAACAATATTCCAGTGACTAATATGTGCATGATTAATAAGGGGTTTACAGGGATAAAGTACATTTTCAGCACATAATCATAAAAACATAAATTAAGCTACATAAATAAAAATTAAAACGTTCTTTGCTGTGAATGATATAAGAAATGTTAATGGACTGGATGCAGTTAGTTTATCCAGAAGATGCCCTGCTACATGGATGAAATTTGGACTCCGGTGCTTCAAGTACTTTTCTCATTCAGCTACCTGGATCACAGCAGAGGTAATGTGTTACAACAGGATGATTTACATTAGGTGTCTTTAACCACATCTAAAATATATATGTAAAGACATGTATGTACAGTACACAGTAAATGCATTGTCAAATGATTAATTTAAACTGATGATAGACCAATGCCACTTTTGCGTCATCGAAGGGTAACGCCCCTTTTTGGGGGAAAACACCTCTATACTGTCTGTCTATGGGAAAACAAATGGATTCCCATGAGAACAGAACTCGCACTAGATCTGCAAAGTTTCTTGATAGCAAAAATGGCACAAACTTAAAGAAGCTAACGTTACTGAATACGGGGTTACAGAGGTGTCCCTTTGAAATGGTCGAAAACTGGATTAATGACCCCACACAGCGGCCAAATATGGACTATTCAGACATCTAACGATACCACTATCTCGTGGAATCGCCAAGTAAGCACGTAGCCTTTTTTATTTTTCATTAACACTTACAGTATGACAAACTAGGCGATGAATGGATCATATTTAACTTGATTTAAGCTATTGACATAGTCTAATAAGGTAACGTTAGCTGCTAACAGCTTAGTCTTTCTAATAGCTAGTCGACAACAAAACTTGTCAATAGCTTAAATCAAGTTAAATATGATCCAAGTGACATAGCCTCATCGTCTAGTAGTTTGTCATAGGCTACTGTGAGTGTGTAAATGATAAATAAATAAATAAAAAAGGCTACTTACTTGGTGATTCCACGAGATAGTGGTATCGTTAGATGTCTGAATAGTCCATATTTGGCCGCTGTGTGGGGTCATTAATCCAGTTTTCGACCATTTCAAAGGGACACCTCTGTAACCCCGTATTCAGTAACGTTAGCTTCTTTAAGTTTGTGCCATTTTTGCTATCAAGAAACTTTGCAGATCTAGTGCGAGTTCTGTTCACATGGGAATCCGTATGTTTTCCCATAGACAGTATAGAGGTGTTTTCCCCCAAAAGGGGGCGTTACCCTTCGATGACGCAAAAGTGGCGTTGGTCTATTCTCTGGTGAAGTAAATACTTCAGGGAAAAAAAGAAAGAAGAAAAAACGAATGCAATTTCTGCAAGGAAAAGTTAGTTCAGCCAATAATTAAAAAAATAATAATAATGATAAAGTAAATTATACACTCACCGGCCACTTTATTAGGTACCCCATGCTAGTAACGGGTTGGACCCCCTTTTGCCTTCAGAACTGCCTCAATTCTTCGTGGCATAGATTCAACAAGGTGCTGGAAGCATTCCTCAGGGAGTTTGGTCCATATTGACATGATGGCATCACACAGTTGCCGCAGATTTGTCGGCTGCACATCCATGATGCGAATCTCCCGTTCCACCACATCCCAAAGATGCTCTATTGGATTGAGATCTGGTGACTGTGGAGGCCATTTGAGTACAGCGAACTCATTGTCATGTTCAAGAAACCAGTCTGAGATGATTCCAGCTTTATGACATGGCGCATTATCCTGCTGAAAGTAGCCATCAGAAGTTGGGTACATTGTGGTCATAAAGGGATGGACATGGTCAGCAACAATACTCAGGTAGGCTGTGGCGTTGCAACGATGCTCAATTGGTACCAAGGGGCCCAAAGAGTGCCAAGAAAATATTCCCCACACCATGACACCACCACCACCAGCCTGAACCGTTGATACAAGGCAGGATGGATCCATGCTTTCATGTTGTAGACGCCAAATTCTGACCCTACCATCCGAATGTCGCAGCAGAAATCGAGACTCATCAGACCAGGCAACGTTTTTCCAATCTTCTATTGTCCAATTTTGATGAGCTTGTGCAAATTGTAGCCTCAGTTTCCTGTTCTTAGCTGAAAGGAGTGGCACCCGGTGTGGTCTTCTGCTGCTGTAGCCCATCTGCCTCAAAGTTCGACATACTGTGCGTTCAGAGATGCTCTTCTGCCCACCTTGGTTGTAACGGGTGGTTATTTGAGTCACTGTTGCCCTTCTATCAGCTCGAACCAGTCTGGCCATTCTCCTCTGACCTCTGGCATCAACAAGGCATTTCCGCCCACAGAACTGCCGCTCACTGGATGTTTTGTCTTTTTCGGACCATTCTCTGTAAACCCTAGAGATGGTTGTGCGTGAAAATCCCAGTAGATTAGCAGTTTCTGAAATACTCAGACCAGCCCTTCTGGCACCAACAATCATGCCACGTTCAAATTCACTCAAATCACCTTTCTTCCCCATACTGATGCTCGGTTTGAACTGCAGGAGATTGTCTTGACCATGTCTACATGCCTAAATGCACTGAGTTGCCGCCATGTGATTGGCTGCTTAGAAATTAAGTGTTAACGCGCAGTTGGACAGGTGTACCTAATAAAGTGGCCGGTGAGTGTATATTAGTACTCAATTCAAGCATGTAAATAATAGAATATAGAATTAAGTAAAACCTACTGAACTTTTATAATACATGTTCCCATCATGCACTGGGGCATGAATAATAAATAAGGTTGATTTTTCACTGTTTTCCAGCTGTATTTACACTGTTTTATCATTGCTTTTGTTAGATTTAGTGACTTGCCATTTTGTGATATCTATTCGTTTTCAAAATAACACAATTACTCAAAAACAATCTGTCGAATGTTAAAGTCATTGTGTATTTTGTAGTATTGAGGTGTTCAGGTGCCATGTTACTTTTATTATATTGATAAGTATGTAATTTAATTCAGTTTGTCAGTTTGTATGTAATTTAATTCAGTTTAATTCAGTTTGTCTTAAAAAATCATTTATTTAGCCTAGTAATTTATCAATATATTGTCTTAGTGTCATTTACTACAAGTAATTTTAAGTCTAATAGTAGCCTAAGTAGATATCAGTCAGTATAGCAGTATCAGTTAAAGTTACTTAAAATGTGTTATTGCAAATTGTTATGAGGATTGTGTCAAGTAAATCCAACAAGTCATTGTTTTCAGTGATGTAAAGTGGGAATGTTACATATAGTAAAACTTTCTTTTATGCAATTAAACAGTACACAAAACTGATGCTGAGAATATAATCAGTCCGCAGACTTTGTTTGCAAATGTCTAAAATGTTGTCACTCTTGTTTTCTGTTTGAAAAAATGATTTTGTACCTATTGACAATAAAAAAAAAAATCTTTTTTTAGAGAAACTGTCAAAGTCTTGGTGCGAATCTCGCATCTGTGCGTAATAGACTTGAAAATGATTTCCTGCTGAGTCTGTTGCCTTCTTCCACGCGTACTTGGATTGGTGGTCATGATGCTATACAAGTGAGTTCAATTATGTCCTACAGAGACCTATTCGTCTAAACTAACATTTCTGATGTAAACAGTAAAGGCAAAGTTTCTAATGAAGATGTTTTGACTCAAATCTGAACTAAAGCTTCTTCCTGAAGTCTGCCAACAGTAGTGCACTCTTACTCACTCTCTTCTCTTCAGGAAGGACACTGGTTGTGGAGTGATGGATCTGTGTTTTTGTATTCCCACTGGTGCACTGGACAACCTGACAATTTGGGTGTCGAGAACTGTTTGGAGATCAACTTTACCTGTAAGACTGCAGTCTGATTTTTAATAATTTCAGTTATAATTTACAATCCTACAATTTTACATTATAAAGTAACATGAAATGACTCAATTTAGATTTCACAAAGTGCTTTAAGTTAAATATTCAATTTTATTTTGATTCTAACAACAACATTATAATGATCAGAATAACTTTTTTCCCCCTTACAGCTAACCGTTGCTGGAATGATGCTTTCTGTACAACCTCATTATCCTATATCTGTGTTAAGGACCTGTGAGACCGTCATGCTGATCCACAGTTACTTGGATTGAACTACTTCTTTCCAATATTATCTTTTAAAAAATGTTATTCTGAAATAAAATCTCTTCTAAACTTTAATCTCCTTTCAATATCTTCTCTGAAACACTCCTCAAATTAATAAAAGCATTGAAAAAGCAAATTGTCAGTCAAATTCATGTATGTAAAAAATATGTGTAGCAAAGGTTTAAGAATCTGGTTATTAGAATGGCATTAAAGAGCAACATGCAGGCTGGACACCCCTATATAGCATAGTGTATGTTGATGATAAAACAACTTTTTTCTGAACTGGAGTAATATATATTTAGCCATTAATGATAATTTGAGAAAAATTGTGATAAAATAACTCCCGCGTCTATGAAGGATAACCGGAAGTGACGATCGGCGAGGGAGTCTGTTCAAGTTCCAGCTCAGGTTATGGATGCGAATGAAGAAACCGAGTTCTCCGATGTTGACAAACATGCCTATGATGGCCCACGGGCATATAATTATGAGCCTCCTAGACGAGATAGAAGTCAGGGGGAGATCGGGGGAGGACCAATGGGCAGAGGAGAGAAGTAACGTTAGAGTTATTGTGATTCACAAGAGGAGTAGACATTTCATATGTGGTAACTGTTGGTTCCTAAACCCATAAACAACACAGAAACTATTAATAGATCACACACATATGCACATCTGAAATCAACTGAGTAACAAATTAAAAATGTACACCAAAGAGAAAATATACATAACCAGAATTCAATGAATGAAACATATCAACACAATCACTTTAACTAAACAAACCAGAAGAGGAACTTACATGTTCAACCACGCAACAATTCCACACAGAGCACGCATGAATGAATGAATGGGAAGACGGTTACAAACAGGCTGAGACTGAAGCGAGATTAGCTAGCTAGTGACAACAGGTGATCTCATCAAGACTCGATCAAGTGGAAATATTTTATCAAGTGGAAATATGCAACATGCAACTTTTCCAACTTATGCTTCTGTATCTTAAACATGGGTTCATCAGCGACTTACCTTCCTCTGCGTCGTGTTCTGGAAGTGGAAGGCAAACAAAGCTAAGCAGATGATGAAAAACTTTAAACAAATGAAACTGTAACAGCAGCATTTGACCACTAGAGGGATGAGTACGCACCATGTAATTGTATACTACTAAGCGCCACCTAGTGTCCTACTAAGGATATTACATTTTTCCAGATTTACGGCAATTTACATTATGAAAAATATGAAACAGAATTCGGTTTAAAAATAAATTGGATGATTATTCAGAAATGACTCTTTATTAATATTGTTGTATATATGGCAACTGACAGTCGTGAAGATACAAAACCTTTGCAAATGATTTGTTTCAAACCAGAATGTTGATGTCAGTATGCAAAACACAACAAATGATATACACTAAAAAACGGATTATTTTTAACCCAATATTTTTAAGTGAGTAAATTTTAATTAATTTCAATAAAACAAAATTCTGTCTTGGTTGTGCTACTGACACAAGACAACAAATACAATTGTAAAAAAAAAATTAAAAAAGCAAAAAAAAAATTATTGTAAAATAGTAAGACAAAGTAATTGCTTAATGTATTCATGTCGATGTGCACTCTGGGAGTCAGCATAATACACAGTAGTAAACATCTCAATTGAAATTATTTAATTATTGAAAATAGTCATTCATAAGAAACTTTTTTTAAGGGTCACCGCTGTTGATTCTTCAACTGATCTTCCATTAGCCTCCTCCTCTTGTGGATCTGATGTCATAAACCAGAAGAATGACAGTAGCCACGCCCACCACAGCAGAGAGGACCAATCGGATCACAGCTTCAATAGAACCACAGCTGTGAACTTCTAAACAAACAATGATAAATAGTGATTTTAGTGAGCAGACATTATGTTTCAGGAACTTCAAACTGCACAATCACATAAATATGGTAAAAACAGCAATGTTGAAAGCAAAAATAAACTATGGGAGATGTATTTAGGGCATACAAAGTGTGATTCAACAGGAACTTTCAATTTATGAAAAATAAATAAATAAATCTGATGAGTGGTGGTGTACCTGCACATGTGTGTCTGCAGAGTGTGTTGATGTCCAGATGTGTGGTCTGGTTGCTGATGGGATTGTTCAGCACACAGCTGTAGGTGTTTTTATCCTGATATTCCACCTCCAGAGGTAGAGAGAGACTGATGCTGAGATCACACACACTGATGCTGGACAATACACTCATTCCTGCGTACCAGGACAGAGTCGCGTCACACACACTCAACACTGATGATGAACACACCACTGAACAATTTGATGATGATGATGAACAGTGTGAAGAGTTACTGATGATGACAGGAACAGGCAGACGAGCTGAGAAAGATTGGAATAAATCATTATCCCTACTAAGATCATCTACTATTATTATTATTTTACTTTCCTTAAAACTAAAACTGTATTATTAATTTTCCTTCCATCTCATATTTGTTTTCTTCTACCATGTCCCTTCAGGTACCATCTAGTGGTGATTTGACAAATTATTTTCACGATTATTTTTCAAATTTTACATTTGTATTTAATTTAAGAAAACAGAAAAAATAATGTAGAAATAAAAGTCATTTAAAAAAGAGAGAATTACTGCATTTTGACATTAATGGCATAATCCTTCAAAATTACAGCTGAATTGTTATTTTACACAGTTTGAGAACCATTTAAAATAACAAATAAATTAAAAAAAATGTTAAACTCACAATAGACAGTGAGATTGAAACTCTTGCTCACACGATATTTAATCAGTGTATAAACTCCAGTGTGTTCAGTTGTGGTGTTTGTGATGGTCAGAGATCCAGTTTGATCGTCCAGCTTCAGTCTGTCTCTGAATCTCCCATCAGGAACATCATCATATACAGTCATGCTGTCCTCCAGTACAACGATTTTAGCAATTAAAGTGTTTTCATCTCCAAACCTCCACAGAATCAGATCTTCATCCATCATTTCAGTGAGATCAGAGTTTAGAGAGACTGAATCTCCCTCCGTCACTGACACTGACTTCACTGCAAACACTCCTGGAGAACACACAGATTTAACCGTAAAACTCATTGCCTTTGTATTTATAGATTCTGAATCATTTGTTTACTCCAGACAGATGACATTTTAGAAGAATATCTGCCTCGAGATAGTAAACTATAGTTGTATCTTTGCTTTGAATATTTTACAGGGATATTCAGATACGAAGAGTGTGTGTTTCTGATTGAATCTGTGTATAATTTGATGATCTGTGAAGAAAGACCTGAATTTAAAGTAATTAAAGTAAGTATCTGGAAATAACAAATGCAAATCCATCACATTACCCTGTATGGAAAGCAAAGCACAAACTAAATCAGTAAAAACAATGATATAAATCACTCACCAAACCGTTGCCACAAACACAAGCTGAACAAAACGCCGACATGAACCATTTTCACTGAGCACTGTAACATTATAATGAAAATATGACAGAAGTGTGATATAATAGTGTGTGTGTGTGGACCCTCCCCCATCAGGACAAGAGACCACACACACTAGATATTACTTTCTTAATATACAGCATTTATCAAGACTCACTTAATATAACATTCTGTAACAGGCAGTTATTAAAATGATTATACGTTTACTGAATTTATCTTTTGTTTTTTTGTGCAGTATTTCTTAGAATATAAAGGAAATAGGAAATAAAGACTCTCTTTACCCACAAACTGACACACACACACACACACACACACACACACACACACACACACACACACACAGGTTTTCCACTCATCGGGTCAATCTTCATCTCTTAAACGAGACCGCAGCAGTTTCACTTTGACACACACACACACACGCACACACACACACACACACACACACACACACACACACACACACACACACACACACACACACACACACACTGAATCGTGTTCATTCTCTGAACTAGAAAAAAACTGCTGTGGTTTGTCTGTTTAAATAGCATATAGTTTTTTAAAAAGTTTAATTTGACCTTGTAATTAGTTCTAGTCCGACACACTCAAGCTTGTTTGCACAAGCTTATCTCACTGAAGCTGGATTTACATGATTTCTATAGCAAATACATACATTTAAGTAATGCATGAATGAAAATGTGCATTTTGGGGGTGAATGAGTGTAAATTCATCATCACACAGAAGTTACTCAATTAATTTCTTCCTAATTCATTACAATAGTTTAAGTTTGTGCAGGGCTCATGTTATGGAGTTCCAAACGTAGGTTGGGGGAGGAGCCTATTCCTTCAATGCTGTCAATCATCATTTGGAGCTCATATAGACTATTTCACAAGATGTAAACAACACTGGTCCAGAAGCACTTCCTGTTTCAGTTTTTTAACACTACATAAAAGCTGGGATAAAATACAACCAACAGAACATTTAAAACTGAATCAAAAAGTTAAACAAACATCTCTAAGATGTTTTCTTTACATGTGAAATAAAGAAAACAGTTACAAACTGAAACAGGAAGTGTTTCTGGACCAGTGTTGTTTACATCTTGTTGTTTACATCATCTATATCAGTATTATTGAGATATCCACTGCAGAACCAGCAGTTTCAGACCAGCAGACACGGGACACACGTGAGGGGCGGAGCTTATAGTGTTGCCTATATTCATGTCATTTTTGTTTTATTTAATATTTAATTGACAGTATTGCTAACATATTTTAATAACAATACTTTTAAATAAAGCCACTTTCAGTTCTTTTTTTATTTTATTTATTTTTTTATTAAATGCTCGTAAAGGAAAACATCACAACAACAAACAAACAAAAAAAACATATACCACAATTATTGTCATTGTCATAACATAAAAACCATTGAGTCCTTCAGTCCAGATTAAGCTCCTTCTGTCTTTTTACTCCAGGTTAAGTGCCAAGTCCTTAAACGCAGCCACTGTTCTTATAGCTTTTAAGTTTTTAGAGAACTCTATAGATTCAAAGTACATTTTCATTTCAAGTTTAAATCTTACAAAAAGAGGACTGCAATTAGAAAATTTACATTTGTGAATGTGAAATTTAGCTAACAGAAAAATAAGATTTATAAAATAAATATCCCTTTTCTTTTCACATTCATGAAAACCAAAAATTACATTTCTATATGTAAAATCAAAGTTAGGATTCACATAACATTTTATAAAATCACAAATGTCATACCAGAAAGTCATTGTGAGAGAGCAGTTCCAAAATAAATGTAAAGAAGTCTCAGGTTTCTCTGAACAGAAAGAACAGAGGGTATTAATATCATTCTTGAGCCTTTTGAGAAAACACTTATCTGGATAAACCCTATGAATTAACTTAAAGGTAATTTCTCTTATTTTGTTAGTTATCAGGTATTTGTGAGGTAATGTCCAAACTTTTTTCCAGGGAATGTCACTTACAAAACCATTCCAGTAAGAAATTACACATGGCACAGAAACAGACTCCTCCTGAAACAAGACTCGAATTTTCTTATTATTTTTTGATTTAGAAGAAGAAAAGCACTGTTTACCTACAAATGTCTTACACAGATCCACTGAGCGGTAAAGAGATGAAGAAGAAAATCCTTTAAAAAGCATGAGAACCCCTTGTGGCACTGCATCAGCCACAATTGCAAACTCTTTAGGAGTGACAGGAATTCCATGCTTTACCAAGAACTCTGAATAATTACAGATCAAACCATTTTGATTGAAAAGTTGATATACAAAAATAATTCCGTTTTTAAACCAATTATCAGCCACTTTCAGTTCATAAGATATTATGACATCGCGTGACGCATCATCAACACTTTTTCTTCTTCTTCTGTTTGTGTGTTGTATGACGGATGGAGTTTAGCGCCCCCTACAGGACTACTGCAGTCAGCATGAAGTTCAGTTCTTCTGGAAGATCTTGTGTTTTTACACACGTCAGAATCAAAATGTTACTAAAGAAATAAATAAATAATCATAGAATAAATTGATGGAAATATATGTATAGGCAACGATTTTTATTTTTATTAATCTGTTCTGTAAAGACTCTAACAGTAAATATTCTGCACTGTGATTTCAGTAAACATGATTTTTTTAGTTTTTTATCATGCAGAAGAAACGACAGAACAGTGTGTTTTTAGATTAATCTGCTTGTGGATTTAAGTTGTTAATCAATGAATGTGATCTTATGAGCATTTTAATAAATCTGGCAAAAAATATTATAACTTATAGCCGATTTAAAAAAAATAACATGCTATTATACAGCAAAAAAAGATGCACAGGCCGTACATGAGTGTGATTCACTGCTCAGACTCGAGCGGCTCAAAGTAAACCTCGACTGACTTCTGTACAGAGATGCGGTTTGATGTGTTGATGAAAATAAACAGCTTCTGCGTCATCAGTGTGTCTGTATTCACACGTTGTGAGTGTGATCGACTGATGGAAAACAAGATAGTGTTTGCTAGTAACCATTAGTGACTATCCAAAGACCATCACACTTTTAATAGCAAAATATTGATCATAGGCCTACAATAAAATATTAAAAATGCACGGCTGCAAAAACAAAAACTGAAAAGATACTGTGTCCGGTCCGCCATCTCCAACAATGCAATACTAATACAGAGGAATATTAATCACCAGAGTATCAGTGTGTGTGAAGTGAGAGAGAGAATGAGGTGTTGAAATATTATTGGTGGAGGAATCAGACGCAGAAACACACTCTCTCACAGTTTAACACTGTCCTGTTAGTTCACTATCTCTCTGTCTCTGAAGTGTTCACATATAGAGATCTGACAATGCTTCACATGTGTGTGTTGTTCTGCGTGTGTCGTCTGGCCGGTGAGTTATAATCATATTCATTTTCTTGCTTTAGTTTAAATATAAACTATTTACAGAGATTTAATAGACAAACAGAGGATTTCCCAGATAAAAGATGCTCAAACTAAATTATTATTGTGTTTTGAGAGATCTATTTTAAACCACAGAGAAAAATATGACGGGATCAAAAACAGCAGATCTTGCTCATTATGTTTAATATTAAATGTATTGAAAGTGAGTGGCAGAATTAAACTTATTTATTACAGCTTGGATGTACAACTTCACACATTTATTGTACACCATGAAGATCAAATAATTGGTTCACACACATCAGTGTATATAACCTTTCATTTTCTTTTGTGTTGCTGTTGTTCTTTAATTTACATTTAAGGGTTACAAACGACAACTCATTCAGGCTTTTTTAACAACAGGAGCTTTAATCTGTGTAAATCTGTGTGTTCATCAGGTGTGTTTGGTGATTCAGTGTCAGTGACGGAGGGAGAATCTGTTACTCTAAACACTGATCTTACTGAAATACATGAACATGACGAGATACTGTGGAAATATGGAGCTGAAAACTCTCTGATAGCTAAAATCAACAAAATCAGCGAAATCTTCTCCACATATGATGATGTTCCTGATGGGAGATTCAGAGACAGACTGAAGCTGGACGATCAAACTGGATCTCTGATCATCACAAACACCACAACTGAACACACTGGAGTTTATACACTAGAGATAACTGGAGCGAAACTGACATTAAAAACATTCAGTGTTTCTGTCTATGGTGAGTAGAGATCATTTGTTCTTCCTTTCAAATTTTCTTATTTAAATGTTTTATTTACTGAGATTTTATAATTTGAGATCAGAAACACTAACTGTGATCACACTAAACACATTGTAGGATTGGTGCTTATATTTATTCATATTTCAGCTCGTCTGCCTGTTCCTGTCATCATCAGTAACTCTTCACACTGTTCTCCATCATCATCATCAAATTGTTCAGTGGTGTGTTCATCAGTGTTGAGTGTGTGTGATGCGACTCTGTCCTGGTACGCAGGAATGAGTGTATTGTCCAGCATCAGTGTGTGTGATCTCAGCATCAGTCTCTCTCTACCTCTGGAGGTGGAATATCAGGATAAAAACACCTACAGCTGTGTGCTGAACAATCCCATCAGCAACCAGACCACACATCTGGACATCAACACACACTGCAGACACACATGTGCAGGTACTGCACCACTGATGAATCACTGAATTAATGTGTTGATTTTATCGAGACTGATAACTTAGGATGACTTAAAGAATGAAGGAGCGTCTGTCATCATGTACTTGTGTCTTTCTGAACAGTTTTGACTTTATTTTTCTTGTGTGGA